GATGAGATACCTTCGCCACTGAAGATATGTCCAAAGAACAACATGCTTGGTACATGAACTTGACACTTCAACAGGTTCACACGTAAGTTGCTCTCAGTCAGTCGCTGTAACACCGTTCAAAGAAGACGGTCGTGTTCTTCCATGTTTCTTCCCCCAACATAGATCATCACTGATATTCTTGACCTGGTATGCCACTGATGACGTCACTGACAATCTTCTGAATGATTTCTGCTGAACATGACATACCAAAGTTCAAACGTTTATAACGCCATAATCCGACATGAGTCGAGAACGTGGTGAGATGGCGTGAGTCTGGATGTAACATGATCTGGTGGTAGCCTTGCCTTAGGTCAACCTTACTAAACACTTTAATATTGATATAATAAAACAATACATTACATCCCCTTCCTGGTGGATTTTAACTGAATCAGCTTCCTTATAGTCACTCACTGGATAACCATTGATATTGGTTTCACACAAAATTACACGAATAATTAACGCAATAACTATTAATCAACTTTGGACTATTTGCTCAAACACAAATTACTGTCTTAGAGCTTGATGCTCATACAGATTAACACTGAGGGTTAACTCATCCACTACAATCATAAACTGGAAATTATATTTCACAAATTGCTGTAAGCTGTCTGCTTTCACAACATTCTCATTCACTACAGTCCTTCCTCATCCGGGTTGATCGCCTTAGGGGAATAGGAGGTGATGACCTATCTGTATCAAAAGGTGATGTCTGAGGGTTCGCAGTCAACTTCAATGGGGTGTCTATGTGCCGCGGAATGTTATCAGCTCGTGGTAACTGATTAGGCATTAAATGGGACTGCGGAACAGCCCGATCAACACCAAACTGATCATACAACTCCTCGTCCCTTGTGATCTCATAGTCTCTCTCCATGCCTACTCCCATATCAATCGGGATTTTCTTAAAGAATGAAGAGTTTCTGGTCACAGAATGCTGCCCATCTGATGCAGATATCATACTACCCTTCTTCTGAGTAATGGTTAGTGGTGTGATTTGATATGGTAAGCCACCTTTGACAAGATTGTATGGGGTTTTCACTAACACTGAGTCACCTACTTGTAGGTCAGTAGGTTTGTCACTGATGGGATCATGTTCTACAATCTGCGGTAGTTTCGTTTTGATCACACGCCTCAGGAACAATGTAGCAGGTGCAACGTTTGTTGCAGAGTGAGGAGTACATCTGTAAGTTCTAAGAAAGCCTTGTAGGGCCTTTCTCCAGTTGACTCCTTCAACTTTCGCGATTTTCACATGCTTTTTCAGCGTTCTGACGAAACGTTCTACTTCACCGTTGGCTCTAGGCCACAAAGGGATCACTTTGCGATGCCTAAAACCCCTAGTTTCTGCGAACTTGGCAAACTCCTCTCCATTGAAAGGGGATCCGTTATCAGATTTCACGGTCTCTGGTGTCCCAAATGTTGCGAAGATTTCGTCTAACTTTGGAACTACAGCTGCTGCTGCAGTTGATCGCACAGGTACCACAAATGGGAAACGTGAATAATCGTCTATGAACAGCATCACTGTTTCCCCCTCGATGTGTGCGAAATCAACACTGGTAAGTTCAAACACCTTTCCAGGTAGCATGGTTGGTTTCAATGGTTCACGGTTGGATACTGGCGTGGCAACTTGGCATGATAGACACGATGTGACTTTTCATTCTATCAGTTTGTCCATGAGAGGGAACCAAACCTTTTCTCTCATAAGAGTCTTAGTTTTCACAATACCAAGATGTCCCTCATGTGCAATGTCTACTGTTCTCTGCTGAAGTTGTGCAGGTATGACGATACGATTAGACTTTAAGAGCACAGTTTGATCTGCCGTGCATGTCAACTTAGTTTTGATTTGCTCGTATCTCGACAGTTCAGAAACACTGACACCAGGGGAAGGTTTGTACCACTGCCCTGATTTCATGCACATGATAACTGCCTGTATAACAGGATCACTCGCTGTTGCAGCTTCAATTTCGCTTAGAGTCATTGCCTTTGGCACAGCATTGCGTACTATGTATGCAATGTGACCGTCAGTTCTCTCGTCTACACCCTCAAGCGTAGATGTTGCAGGTGTACTGCTCGGATGTCTCGAACCGTAGTCTGCCGGGTTCTTGTCACCTGGTTCATAATCAACGTGAAATCTATACTTCTGCAGGTCCATTAGCCAACGCTCGATTCTTGCAGACGGTTTTGATGAGAGGTTATTGAACAACGACACAAGTGGTTGATGGTCGGTCATGGCTCTGAAGTCCTTGCCGTATACATACAGGTGAAAACGCTTCACTGCCCAGTAGATTGCCAACGCTTCACGATCGATCTGGGGATAGCGAGATTCAGTAGCAGTAAGTGGATAGCTAGCATAGTACAATGGCACAGGATTTCCATCTACACCCTTCTGGGTGAGCACCGCTCCAAGTCCAATTGGGCTTCCATCTGTATAGACTACAGTTTCCTTTTCAGGATCAAAGTACCCAAGGGTCGTCTCAGCAGATAAAGCATTCTTTAGATTCGTGAACGCAGTATCTTCTTCCTCTGTCCATCTCCAAGGTTCATCCTTGTGTGTCAATCTTCGAAGAGGACGTGTGATGGTGGCAAAATCCTTGATGTAGCGTGAACAAAACGCCGCAGAACTCAGTAAACTCCGTACTTCAGTGATGTTGTTGGACGGTTTCAATGTCTGAATCTCACTGACTTTCTTCGGGTCTGGTGAGATACCTTCACCACTGAAGATATGTCCAAAGAACAACATGCTTGGTACACGAACTTGACACTTCAACAGGTTTACACGCAAGTTGCTCTCAGTCAGTCGCTGTAACACCATTCGTCACTGATGACGTCACTGACAATCTTCTGAAAGATTTCTGCTGAGCATGACATACCAAAGTTCAAACGTTTATAACGCCATAATCCGACATGAGTCGAGAACGTGGTGAGATGGCGTGCGTCTGGATGTAACATGATCTGGTGGTAGCCTTGCCTTAGGTTAACCTTACTAAACACTTTGCAGCCATTCAGGTCAGCTACAATGTCATCAATGGTAGGTATGACATGACGTTCACGACTTATTGCTTGATTGACTGCACGCATGTCAACACAGATGCGTATATCGTCACCTGTTGGCTTTGGAACGACAACTATAGGTGATATCCAAGGTGTTGGACCTTCAGCTCGTTCTATTATGTCAGCCCTTTCAAGTTCTTCCAGTTTCTGTTCGACTTTCTTTCTGACGTGAAAAGGGATATCGTCGATGAGGTTGTGCTACTGGTTTGACCGATTCATCGACAACAACCTTGACTGGATCACATTTGCATGTTCCCATCCCAGCGGTCACTGTGGGGAATTCACTCATAATGTCTGTGCCAAGATGCGACTTTGGTTCTGAACGATGTGATCAGGTTTAACTTCTGAGATGCTTTCCAACTCAAAAGTGAACTGCTTGGTCCATTCACCACGAAGAATGTCTCTTTGCAAGTATACTGACCATTCGATGCATCAGCTTGGAATTTCCCAAGTAGATTGAGTGGTTCTGCTGACATGTATGGGTACACTCTCGAATTTGAGTGTGTAAGCTTCGGCTTGTTCTTTACTGCGAGATAATCTGTCTCGTTCAAAACATTCATCGATGCCCCAGAATCAGCTATTACTCGCACTGGTGTGCCAGCTATGTTGACACTGAACAGTGGTTTGTCACGGACAGTCATGTTGGTAGTGTCAGTAAGACGAAATGTACACCCGTCATCATCAATGTTATTATCACTAAAATCACACTTGACAGCCGAATTTTCAGATCGCCTGTCTTTTATCTCAGATGCGTTCCCTATCTCTGTTGCACACGCTCGGTGTCTGATTGGTCTGTCTCGCCCTCGCTGACTGATTCGTCCCTGTGATTCAGGTTGTGCAGCTGGGTTTCCTCGACACATCCTTGCGAAATGATTAGATTTTCCACACTTATGACAAGTTTTCCCTCGAGCAAGACACTGTTCTTTGTGTGGATACAAGCCGCTGCAAAGCCCACATGTGGTGTTTCGCTGTTTGTCAGGCTTCAGTTGACGTCTGCCGTGATAATTGGCACTAGGCTTGTACTTGTTTTCCTGATGAAACGGTTTGCTGTTTACTGCATGTGACGTCTCTCGATACATTTCTTGAGAATGTTCATCTGCAGTTTCCATCGCGCGAGCCGTTTTTAAAAGTTGCTCTAAGGTTAAGCCTTGTTCTATTGCTTTCCTCCTTAGGCACGAGCTTGAAGTGCCTTGTATAATTTGTCGTCTGATCTCGACATTGTTGTCTTGAAAACCTTTCTTAGCCAGGATCTGCAGTCTAGTGTGAAATTCTGTCACTGATTCACTAGTTCTCTGTGTTTCTTTGCGAAAAGAATATACATGGTAGTCTGTACATCTTTGAGGTTCGATGTAGTTGGCCATCGCTTTTATGGTTTGGTCGTATATATTTGTATCCTCATGTTCACCAGCGGCTGGTTCTGGTATGATCAATGTATCAATAATGTCACATGCTTCCTCACCTATATAGTGCTGTAAACATGTTGCCAAGTCTCTTCACATATTTCTCAAACCGGGTAGGTGCGGTTTCTCGAGGGTGCATTTCGAATTCAGCAAACGATGGTAAGCTGATCGCCATTTTGAGAAATCTGCGCGCTCCGTTTCGTCACCCAGAGCGGATCAACGAAAACAGAAGTACCGATGGTTGGTAGTACGACAGTTTCTTCTATTCACACCTACTTATCGTGTGTGTTCATGATCTGATCCTCGTCGCCATTTGTGATGTATTCACATCGATTTATTGTGAAATAAAACCAAGCATAAGAAACAAAACAGACAATGCGGTCGCATCATTACTCTGGTCCTTCTCCCGGGGTCAACAACTAGCGCCATCTAGTATGGGCAATATTGATATAATAAAACAACACATTACAGGCATTTTTTTGCGATTTCGACCAAAATAATGTATATTTTCTTGCACTATTTGTGGTAGCCTTGCCTTAGGTCAACCTTACTAAACACTTTGCAGCCATTCAGGTCAGCTACAATGTCATCAATGGTAGGTATGACATGACGTTCACGACTTATTGCTTGATTGACTGCACGCATGTCGACACAGATGCGTATCTCGTCACCTGTTAGCTTTGGAACGGCAACTATAGGTGATATCCAAGGTGTTGGACCTTCAGCTCGTTCTATTATGTCAGCCCTTTCAAGTTCATCCAGTTTCTGTTCGACTTTCTTTCTGACGTGAAAAGAGATACGTCGATGAGGTTGTGCTACTGGTTTGATCGATTCATCGACAACAACCTTGACTGGATCACATTTGCATGTTCCCATCCCAGCGGTCACTGTGGGGAATTCACTCATAATGTCTGTGTCAAGATGCGATTTTGGTTCAGACACACTGATGACCGATGTGATCAGGTTGAACTTCTGAGACGCTTTCCAACTCAAAAGCGAACTGCTTGGTCCATTCACAACGAAGAATGTCTCTTTGCAAGTATATTGACCATTCGATGCATCAGCTTGGAATTTCCCAAGTAGATTGAGTGGTTCTGCTGACATGTAGTATGGGTACACCCTCGAATTTGAGTGTGTAAGCTTCGACTTGTTCTTTACTGCGAGATAATCTGTCTCGTTCAAAACATTCACCGATGCCCCAGAATCAGCTATTACTCGCACTGGTGTGCCAGCTATGTTGCCACTGAACAGTGGTTTGTCTCGGGCAGTCATGTTGGTAGTGTCAGTAAGACGAAATGTATACCCGTCATCATCAATGTTATTATCACTAAAATCACACTTGACAGCCGAATTTTCAGATCGCCCGTCTTTTATCTCAGATGCGTTCCCTATCTCTATTGCACGCGCTCGGTGTCTGATTGGTCTGTCTCGCCCGTGTTGACTGATTCGTCCCTGTGATTCAGATTGTTCAGCTGGGTTTCCTCGACACATCCTTGCGAAATGATTAGATTTTCCACACTTATGACAAGTTTTCCCTCGAGCAGGACACTGTTCTTTGTGTGGATACAAGCCGCCGCAAAGCCCACATGTGGTGTTTCGCTGTTTGTCAGGCTTCACTTGACGTCTGCCGTGATAATTGGCACTAGGCTTGTTTGTTTTTCTGATGAAACGGTTTGCTGTTCACTGCATGTGACGTCTCTCGATCCATTTCTTGAGAATGTTCATCTGCAGTTTCCATCGCGCAAGCCGTTTTTAAAAGTTGCTCTAAGGTTAAGCCTTGTTCTATTGCTTTCCTCCGACGTAGGTGCGAGCTTGAAGTGCCTTGTATAATTTGTCGTCTGATCTCGACATTGTTGTCTTGAAAACCACACTTCTTAGCCAGGATCTGCGGTCTAGTGTGAAATTCTGTCACTGATTCACTAGTTCTCTGTGTTTCTTTGCGAAAAGAATACACATGGTGGTCTGTACATCTTTGAGGTTCGATGTGGTCGGCCATCGCTTTTATGGTTCGGTCGTATATATTTGTATCCTCATGTTCACCAGCGGCTGGTTCTGGTATGATCAATGTATCGATAATGTCACATGCTTCCTCACCTATATAGTTCAGGAACATAGCTGTAACATCACCTGAATTAGACGTACAAGACCAAATTCTTGTGTTGATTTCTTTATTAATACATCCGTAGATACTGGGTTTCGTTACAGCCGTACTTGTACGTTTCTTCTATATATATACGTAAACTGCAAAAACACAATTACAAAACACCGTAAGAAATCATCTAATCAAATACTAATGACATCAAACTTACTAATTTCTACTCAAACATAAAACCCAATAACAGTATGGTGCTGCCCTTGTCGGTAAGCATAGTTTCCCGCGCACCCACAGGTGGCGCGGCTCTACAATTAACATACTGCGTACAACCAAAAAACGTCACTAAGAATAAACAAAACCCCCCTAAACATCCCGGCTCCCTAATTGTGAGCTTGACACGAGCAATTATATTCAACACACCATTAAATGCGCAAACATCGTGGCATCACGGAACGCGCAGCGCCTTAGTCAGCTTCTACAATGAGGCATAACTTCGCAATTGGTCGCTTCAGGATGGTGGCTCCAATTCGGCCATTGACGACCCTCACAAGCCCCTTGTCGTCCTCCATCACTTCCGTCACTCTGCCTACTGGCCACTGGTTCCTCTGCATATTCCTATCCGCCACCAATACCACGTCTCCGACCTTGACGTTCCTCTCCTCCTTTCGCCATTTCTGATGCTCCTGGAGCGCTACCAGGTACTCTGTGCTCCATCTCCTCCAAAACACGTTCGCCAAGTGTTGTACCTGTCGCCACCTTCTATTGACATAGTTGTCCTCCTTTACAAACACTCCAGGTGGTGGTGCTTGCTCCGGCTGCAACCTCAACAAGTGGTTGGGTGTCAATGCTGGCGAGTCAACTGCGTCACTGGACACTCGTGCTATTGGCCTGTTATTCAGGATCGCCTCTGCCTCACAAAAGAGGGTCTGCAAGCCCTCATCCTCCAAGTGAATGACTTGCTCTGTGGCGACTCCGTACAGTACCTTGCGCACGGATCTGATTAGCCTCTCCCAGGCTCCACCATGATGGGAGGCTATTGGGCAGTTGAACTCCAGAGATGCCAACATATATTTGAAGCAATCTCTAGTTTCTGGCCATCAAATTAGTAGTTCGAGGGGAGGGGGGTTTGGGGTGGGGATTATTAATTTTATACACACACACACACACACGTTCTAAATTGTAGTACATACGCTGCCACGCACATGAAACATTGTATTACGGCTAGCGCAAATAGAGGAGTGTCTGCCTGTACGAGCGAGGAGGATCGATTGTTTATACGCAAAGTCTCTTGCGGCTGGGGTCCAAGGACCGCGTAAGCGCCCTGGAAGCTTAGGGGGTTTGAGAAAGCGGCCCGCGAGGCACGTGTGTATGGCTGTGCACATCCATCGACGCTGTGTTGAATGAAGTACGGGGGGGGCACGATTGTTTCAGCGTGGTACTAATCACTACTAAAATGTAGAGGGTTGGCATTGCTGGACTATGAGAAAGCGACAAAAAAACTCTTTCGGGGAATTGACGAAAAAGCTACAATCGGGAATGACACTCGAGTGTGCCGGCAGGAAAAAATATAAGTGTGAATTTCATTAGGATTTTCCATGGATTACCGTTCTATAATCCTACGGGTCGTTGGTCCTACAGGTCTACGTATGCACGCCCGCAGGCACACCCGCACGCACGCGCGCAAGCACGCGCGCAGGCACGCACGCCCGCAGGCACACCGGCACACGCACGCACTCACGCACGCACGCGCGCAGGCACACACGCAAGCACGCCCGCAAGCACACACGCACGCACGCAGGCACACACGCAAGCGCCCGCACAGGCACACACGTATATACGCGCGGGTGGCGGCGCGCGCTTGATTGAATGCAATACAGTACAGTACACACATGCATGCTTAAATGGTAAACACTTGACAGTCACACCGTACCATGTATTCTACCGTGCCGTGGAACCGGCTGCCGCTAGCGGCAGAGGCCTAGGCATCGCAGCGCAGCAACGCCGAGCGAGAGCGGCAAGGCACGGGACCGACCTGGACAATCGATTTCCAGGGCAACTTTTTCTTTTGGGGTTGCCCCCGATATCATGTTTTCGGGGGCTCTTTTTGGCATTTCGAGGGCGAAATCGCCTGCCGCCCCCGTGTATTTTTCCCCTGCGTATTATAGACTGACGGAACAAACAAAATTTTTTTTTTCGATCACAGTAAAATTCGTAGTTTCATACAAACTGGTCGTAGTGGTGCAAAGGAATAGAAATTCGTATAAAATACGGATAAATCGTAGTGGTTGGCATCTCTGGAACCCCTATTCTATCCCTTTCTGACGTAAGGCTGATCCAATCTTTGACTGATTCCACTTCTGGATTTCTTCTTTCAGCTCCCTACAGGCTCCAACTAAATTAGTACCATTATCTGATCTCAGGCGACGTACAGCTCGTCTTGCGGCAAATCTCCTGACAGCGTTTATGCACGAGTCTGTGGTAAGACTTTGGGCTAACTCAATGTGTACTGCCCGGCTTGAGAAACACGTAAAGATGACTCCGTATCGCTTGTAAGTGCTCCGTCCCCGTTTAACTTCGAATGGGCCAAAGTAGTCCAATACTTCTGTCGGAGTGCACTCAACGTACTGTTCGAGCCTAGATGTCCGACTCCATTGTGGGCATCTACTAATATAAGTCTAGTGACTGGCGAGTCCTTCGGAAACAGCATCGGATGTTTGACTTCAACTGGAACCTTAGCACGTCGTAGGCGTCCTCCTACTCTAAGCAGTCCTGCTTCATCCACGAATGGGTCCAGCTTCTGTATTAATCCTAGGTGTTTTCCGTTTTCCGCAAGTGCATTTGCTGCAGGTATTTAACAATCGAGATCTCCGCTGATTCCAACTCCTCTACTCTAAGTGGTGTTAACACTTCGCTGCCTTGAGCTCTCAACCTTCTATCAGTGCTGCGACGCTGCTTAAAGCATTTCTGTGCCCTTAGTATCCATGCAACAGTTGTTTTGAGTTGCTTCAAATTTGAGTATCTAGCGAACAGTTCATCTGTAGTTACGGTGTCTCCAGGTGCTGCAAGTGTGGCATAAACTTTCTTAACTTCTGGATCTTCAGGTGACAGCTCCTGTGAGAACTCTGATCTCGGCCACTGTGACTCCGGCTCCCATAGATACTTGGGCCCCAACAACCATTGCTCGCTAGCTCGTTGATCCTTTGGTCGAAGTCCTCGGAATGCAGAATCTGCGCGATTGTGCTGAGTAGGGACGTATCTCCATTGGTTTAAAGTTGATCCTTCTTGAATCGTGGTGACTTTGTTAACAACGAAGGTGTGGAATCTGCTGGTCTGATTGTTGATGTATCGTAACACGGTCATGCTATCGGTCCAGTAGACAATCTTATCAAACTCATACTCCATTGCAACTGTAATCATTGCAACGATCTTCACTGCTACGCTGGCAGCCGTTAGCTCCATTCTCGGTGTGGTGACTTTCTTCAGTGGAGCGACCCTTGACCTTCCAAATAGCAACGAACAGCAGACCTGACCCTTATCGTCCTGTAAACACGTATAAACGGCTATCCCATACCCGCTGTCCGATGCATCTGCGAATGCGTGTAGTTCTCGTGATACAATTTTTGTGAATTCTCTAGGACGCAGGCTCCTTGGCACAAACACTTACTCCAATTTCTGGATGTCAACTAGCCATTGACTCCACTCGTTCATTTCTTTCTCGCTGATGGTGTCATCCCATGCTATGTCCTGCTTGCATAGACGTTGTAGTAGTATCCTTGCTGGTAAGACAAACGGCCCAGCTAGTCCTAGGGGGTCAAAAACGCTACTGATGACCGACAGAATTCCCCTTCTTGTAGCCGCTTTCACCTTTAGCCTAATTTTGAACGTGAACGTATCTGTCTCGGTATCCCAAATTATCCCTAAAGCTCTTTCAGTCGGTAGCTCCTCACTGTCAATAGCTAGCTCTAGTTTCTTTGACCTTTCTGATAACGGGATGGAGTCATTCACGGGCTTGCTGTTGCTAATCCACTGGCATGCTCTGAATCCTCCTTTTTCCTTAACTGCAGTAGTCACACCCCTCCTCACGTCGATCCCTTGATCATCATCGACAAGAGATTTTAGCACATCATCAACGTAGAAGCTCCTTCTAATGGTGCTTACGACCTCTCGTGAAACCTGTCCTTCACTGTCAGTGGCACACTGTCGTAGCGCCGAAGCTGCGCAGGCTGGAGAAGAAACTGCCCCAAATGGATGTGTCGTCATCCGATAAGTCTCCGGCGGTTGGTTTAGGTTCCCTCCAGGATACCACAGGAACCGCAAGAAGTCCCGATGATGCTCATTGACCTTGACTTGATTAAACATGCCCTCTATATCTCCCATGATTCCTACGGGTTGCTGACGGAATCGCAACAGCACGTCCACGATGGCATTCGTTAAGTTTGGGCTCCGTAAGAAAGGGGTTAATTCGGCATGTTGGTCAAGGTTGCTGCAACTACAACATGGCTTTTCATAAACTAGGAATCCAGGCGGAGACCAGTCCCAGCTTGTTATACCTCCGGTAGGGGTGCACTTAATTTTTGGGGTCTCAGCCGCTGCACTACTAGTACTAGTACCTGGGTGAGGGCCATTCCTGTCCATACAGATTTTGTTGACCCACACTTAATTTTCGTAAATGTTGGGGTAATATTCCTACTTCAGTATAACTACAAGTTGTATTTGTAAAGATTCAAATTCATCGTAACCTCGTAATATCGTAACTATTATTATTAGTCTTCAAAGTCCTATTAAGTATAATGAAGACGGAAAGAGACAAAGTTGATCAAATACTATCTATAGACAGATCAACATCATGATCCTGTAATCATTAGTTGCTATTTGCATGAATGTGGGTATGTACGCTCTAGTAAAGACATTGTCAAATAGCATAGCACCCACCGGCGCAGGAAGATCGCGTCTGGGATGTGCGGCCATGGTACGAATGTGGCTAAGAAGGAGAATAATTATGTAGATTGCATTTGGGCAGTGAGTCCAGTAGTAGGGGCGCACATAGACTGACTCCGAAGAAAAACAACCTGTGAATGCTGTGCCCAGGGTCAACTCTGCCCAGGACAGATGGAAACACAATCACAAATTTCCCCATGGCATCTGCCACAAGGCAGTCAGATCAAACCAAAATGCGATTTGTTGTTATACCTGCGACATATGGCATCACATAAAATGTCTGCCGGACTGCATATCGATATCGGCCGAAGAGTTTACGTATCTATCGTCAGATCATGCCAATTGGTATTGTTTTAATTGCCAACTGCCACAATTAAGTGATTCATTCTTTTCTGATTCTATCTCAGATAATCACAACCCGAGGTCACGTGGATCACACTGCTGGACCCTTTGTAATGTTCCCTGAGCTACAGGACTCACGCAAATCAAACCATAACAATCTGATCATCTCACACCTGAACATTATTGCAATCTATCACAAGTTCGGGATCATGTCGGACATATTCACTGAAAATCTCTTCGATATTGTTGTCTTTTCTGAGACAAAGCTGGATGTAACTAAACCCAATGCTCCTTTCTGCATTGAAGGCTGTGCAGAACCCCTCCGGAGAGACCGTACCTGGCATGGTGGTTGTCTTATGGCAATAATCCGATCAGGTATTCCCCATCGCAGAGTTGGAAGACTTGAATCACGAAACCTAGATACACTCTGCATTGAACTCCATCACGCAGGGCTGAAATGGCTTCTGATCTCAATCTACAAACCACCAAGTGTCAGTGATCAGGACTTCAAATCAACTTTAACTGTTTTCCTAGACCCTTGCTACACACACTACAACAATATTATACTATGCAGTGACTTAAATTTTGACAAGCCTCTACCTAAGACAAAATGAAAGACACTATCTGACCTATGCGTGATTTTCAATCTCAAAAATCTGCTGAAAGTGCGTACCTGCTTTAAAAACCCTGGCAATGGCTCCTTGTTAGACCCTTTTTCTAACAAATTGTCCTACACGATTCCACAAAACCACGGCCGTCGACACTGGCCTTGGCGATTTTCATCGGTTTATTTGCACAGTGATGAAAGGGAACCTAAAGAAACCCATGCCAAAATGGTATCACGACACAATTTAAGATGGTTTAACCCCAGCACCTTCCAGCAAGATATGGCAAAAGCCCCATTCTACATAGCTGCAATTTTCCAAGACCCAGATGATCAACATTGGATCATGTACCTCTAACAAAAGCAAAGACTAAACCAAAGGGAGAGCTGCCTAATGGAAACGTGCCATCTACAGAAAAAGAATGCTCAGAAACAAATACACAAAGTATCCCACCCTCGAAAATTGGGAAAATTACAGATAACAAAGAAAGCTGGCCATCTCTATAAAGCAGACCTGCTTAAAAACTACTTTGCTGAGAGACATGACGGTGCTTCCACCAACAAGGAGTTCTAGAAGATAAAGCCAGTAATGTTTAACAGACCAAAAGCATCACTGGGCTTGGATTACAGTGATCTTGGAGGAAAAGGGCAATCTATTGACAGATCAAAATAAAGTTGCAGAAATATTCAACACTCATTACACCAACCTGGCAGCTAATATAGGAAACAACCTTGCCGAAACAAGCACTCGGGCAAGTGTTTCGGCTATACAAGCCCAGCCCAGATCAAGTTTTAGTGTTAGGCCCGTCACTCAAGAAGAAATTATAAAAACCATGCAAACACTGGCAACCAATAAAGCTGCTGGCCTTGACCACATCAAGCCAACCCTCGCCATGATCGCTGCCTCCATGAACCTGGAAAAACACAGCACGGGGAATCTGACACGACACTCGACAAGGCAATGGAACAGAGCAGCAGGGTGCGAAATTAACGCGAGTCCTGAGTCAAATACTCCCTGCTTTACTGTCAGACTCCCTGATTTGACATATATGCAGGAGTCTGTGTGACTCCCTGAAAATTCTGCTATACTAACTAGTTCGTTGCAGATGCCTTGCGGAATTGCCGTATTTTTTCAGCAAACGTCCAAAGAAAATTTGGCAGACGTGCAACTGCATGAATCATCAAAATAAGCACATGCGTTATTGTTGATATCTTTAGTGTTAAACTTCAGACTGCGTACTCCCTCATTTTGCTGCAGACTCCCTCTTTTTGAGGGCAGGGAGTCCAACCTTGTTCAAAATTTAATTTCTAACCCTGGAGCAGCAAGTCACATATGATAATGTAGCTAGCCCTAATGGTTCCAGTTCTCGAGCAATCACATTCATATGCTCTCATCAAGATTATGTTTATTATTCAATTTTATGTTTCATTTGCATAATCTGTTGGTCAGGAATTGTCAACACATGGTTCATCCATGTTCATGAGCCTTCAAATTGCTCAACAAAGTTTGGAAGACAAGCGCCATCACCCTCAAAACTAAATTAAAAATTTTCAACTCTAATGTTCAGACCGTCCTCATGTATGGCTGTAAAACATGGAAACTAAAAGCCAAAATAACCCGAAAAATCCAAAGTTTTGTTAACAAATGCTTGATGAAGATCCTCAGAATATTTTTGCCTTGCACCATTGCAAATAACAAGGACGAAGCATACCCCAATCGAAACCCAAATCTGAATAAGGAAATGGGGCTGGGTGGGCCACACACTGCGGAAGAAAGTGACGGACATTGCACGCATGGAGCTCAGCTGGGACCCGCAAGGAAGACGTCGGGTGGGAAGACACAAAGCAACCTGGAGGCGAGACTCAGAGGCTGAACTTAAGAAGAAGGGCTACACCTGGAGGGAAATTGAGCAGAAGGCAACCAACCGAGCGATATGGAGGGAGTACACCAAAGACCTATGTCTCCCAGGAGACTAAAGGGTCTAAGAAGAAGAAGGTTCATCCAGTCACTTGGCAACGGTAGTCCTGACAATGGTTGCAGGCAGGCTGTACTTAACCAACAGTGTTGTCATTTACATCTACGCAAGTGCAACCGATAGCAAGTGCTTTAATACACAGCATAAAAGTGATATGACTCAATATTGGAGAAATGTTAGGAAACCCAAACAAGTTTGAGTAGCCATTAGCTGCAAAACACAAACACAACAGCACACAACAGCACACAACAGTTGTATCACACTTATAAATGACTTGATTTGGTCTCTTGTAAACCACATAGTCACAGTGGACGCTCAGTTATGTATCCGCACGCAGTTATGTGCACGCACTGAAATGCTAAGAAAATCTTTTCGGTGTGCTGCGGCATCTGAGTGGAATAATTTACCTCCTGATGTTCGAGATGCCCTCACGGTACCATTTCTTCTTTTAATGTCCATCTAAAGATAATCTTGCCCTATCAATAAGGTCCATTGTGCTCTACTTACCCCGTACAATTTTAGTCCAAGTAGGCCTACTTCAACTCTTATTGTGTATTTATTTAATATTTAACTGTTCTATTGCTGTGAGACGGCCATGTGGAAGATAGGTCCACGCCAGTATATTGTGTCTGTGCCTAACATGTTTTATCGTCGTTAAATAAAGTTTTTACTTACTTACTTACTATTTATGTGCATTTGTGTCCATACTCAAGATTGACAGTGTTATAAGATCAAGCCTTGAAATATAAGTATTTTCAGCCACAGGAGCAGTTCAGTGCAATTTATGTTCGAGATCAAGTGTTATACATATTTCAACGTTATATCTAAATGTGCATTTATAATGCCTATCCTGGTGAGGGGAGTGTAGCAGTTATGAACTATTTTGTACCACTTATGAACACTTGCCCTGCGCATAACAGAACGTAATGATGACAAGGTTATCGTCCTGTTCTCCTTGCGGATAATAGTTCTACAATAAATACATGTTGTCATGTGTTATTTGGTGTATTATCCTTTATCACAAACATATCGATATCGTGTGAGCACTTCTTCTAGTTAACTGTAACTAATTATAACATCTGGAATAGAACTTTATGAGTACGTATGTATAAAGAACTTGGTGATTAATAAATTGTTCGTGTTTGTTTTTCAGGTGGATCTGTAGATGGTAGTACATAATTGGAGGAGGAAGTCACTACTTTTAAAGATTCAAATACTATATCTTCCTGATCAGCCCTTTGGTGAAGATGATGCAGCACTCTCCTCTTCTCAAAATACATGATCATGTCAAAGATAGTAATAAAGCTCTCAAAGTTAGGCAGAATGCCCCTAATGTCTGCTTGGAATGTACAGAAGTCCATTTTCAAGAAACATATCCTTGCAGCACAATCAAAAGTGGTGGATCATCCAAATACTATCATACTTGTGGAACATGACCCCGTGTACACGATAGGCATTCGGCAGAAAGGGTATACTGCAAATGACGAGGAAAGACTGAAGAGGCTGGGAGCAAAGTTTCATTGCACAGACCGTGGAGGATTGATAACATTTCATGGGCCAGGGCAGCTGGTTGCATACCCCGTGATAAACTTGAAGGATTTTCGACTTGGATTAAGAAACTATGTGTGCAATCTTGAAAAAACTATCATAAATATGTGTGCTGGTTTTGGAGTGGAAGCAATTACTACCTGTGATACAGGAGTCTGGGTGCAGGATAAAAAGATTGCAGCAATAGGCAAGTACAGTGGATTTGTTACCTCATATGACAGTCAGTCATTTAGCCATAAGGTTTTCACAATTGTAATCGTGCACCCATTTGTGATGACTGATCAGAATTAGTTTATGATTTTGTTGAACATGGGGTGATAAAGGAGATGCGTACCTGTATGCCTTGGAAAATTGTCACGTGAGTTACTCTTGATGTCTGCCTGTCGGAAAGGCAAATCCATGGAGTAGTGACCATCCTGATATTTCATCGATTCCTCCACTATCTTGTTAAACTGCTTGTCCTCCACTGATGGCTCCCGTTTACTGTCTACTCCACGCTCTGGGAAGTCCATATTCATGGCATTTTCTGGTCATTTAACTCACTCCTCTCCAACTCTTCCAAGACATAAGCTCTAGCATCCGACACCTTTATCTCAGTTCTTATCTGAATTTCCTCTTTCTTGAGTTTCAACTGAAGTTTCTCCTGCTCAATCTGTTTTTTTTCTTCAAGAGCTGCAGCCAGCTGGCCATTAGCTCGGCCTTTCTCTGGGTTTCCTGTGCCTTGATCAATGATAGGCTGCTCCTACTTCAACGACGAGAGGATTCACCTGAGTGTGTCGAACCTACGGAGTTCCCAGATCTGGATTTTCCACCTGAGGGGGGAGCCTTATCATTTTCCAGAAACCATCTTACTAACCTTTCCTTAAATTCAGCGAAAGATGCCAATTTTTCGTGTAATTCTGCTTCAAGTTCCGTTTTTGTCTCATATCTTCCACCAAATCGAGCCATGCATGATGAGATACTAGGTATTTCTCGTACTCGCATCGCTGTTTCATACAATGATACATTATATCATATATGCATGGGTTGTGTGCACGATGTAACGCATTACCACAGTGTGGTTAGTAGCTGCCTTTTGTTTCAAATTAGGCTCTGAACGCATCGAGTTTGCTGGCAACAGAATGGAAAATCGTGTCGTACGTTTTAGTCTGTATCTCCGGATTGCGGGTGTATACGAGGAAACGATTTCGCACGATGCTAGGCGTGTTGGATGAGTTACGCGTAGTAAATCGTAGGTATTATAAGGCTAGTAAATGACAAATTTCCCTTGTTTATTGAAGTCACACTCCTTCACTATTATCTACTCCTGATGTTATCATATATATGGGTTGTGTGCACGATGTAACGCATTACCATAGAATACGATTACCTGAAAAGAGTACCGTTAAAGCACACTTTACCCTATACTAGCCCGACCAGCTAGGCTGTGCGACGGATTGTCTATACAGGTATAGACGGAGGTATAGTAACCCTAGCAATACCGTTTCTTGGAGCTAACTTTACCCCACCATACAATTCCTCTATACAAAACCTTGCAAACTTTTGCAGCACATTAAATTCGTTGGAGGTATGGAAGTGCACTTGTTGTTGTTTTAGGAGGGGTGGTTTGTGCTCGGGTTCGATATTGTACCTAATCGATTAGGTACAATATCGAACCCGGTACCGATAATCAGTACCGGTAACTGTGAGATTTAGGTGGGGGTCACTGCGGTTCAAGGATAAAGAACATGGGTCCCAATAAAACCAATGTCATTTACATCAATATAAATATAACATTATATCAATATAATAGGTTGGGGTTATGGTTAGGGTTATGGTTAGGGTTAGGCACATATTGGGACCCATGTTCTCTATCCTTGGGCCCTTCAGAAGTAAGAAAACAATCTCTACGTGGAATTCTAGCTAGGTCTGCGTCCATTGTCGTAATCTTTACAAGAAACGACTTCTTCGACTTTGATTTCTTTCGTTTAGTAAATGGTGCCATTATTGTCATACCATGGCAAAACTACAAATAAGATAAGTAAAAATAAACAACAACAACCAAAATAAAACATGCGAAAGCACACCAGGGAAACTAGGAGCCTGGGGCCTCGAGGCATCATTAAACGCACTGGTATCATCAGATGTGCAGACAACGGAGACGGCGACCCCTCGCGCTTCAGATTCACCAACATTTGATTGTCTACTAAAGAAAGGTTTGAACTTTATCCATTTAAATGCTCGTAGCCTAGCTCCTCCCGAAAATGGATGAGATTCGATATATCTCCAATCTTGCTAAAATTGCAGTGATAGCAGTGTCTGAGACTTGGCTAGATGAAACAGTTGAAAATTCAGACATTTTTATAGACAACTATATACCGTGGAAAGACAGGATAGGAATAGATGTGGTGGTGTGGTATGTATTTATATAAGGAAAGACTTTGCTTACAACCTGAGACCTGATATGTTCAAAATTGGGCTAGAAGCAATAGGGGTCGAAATATTACTGCCACGAACAAAACCATAGTTTGTTAGGGTGTTTGTTATAGACCACCAAAACAAGGAGACTTCTTTGAATGGGGTTAGCCGCTAGAAACAGTTGCCGCTGGAGGGCAGCACATCTGCAGAGGTGAAGATTGTCGGGTGTTGCTATCCCGCGGGCGTGGAGGGAGGTCACGTGATAACGTTGACGATGACGTTCAAAAAGTTAACCCTAACGGTAACCCTCACTCCAACACCGCCACCACTAACCTTCACACTAAACATGTATGTGTCGCCGCGCTATATATAGGCAGTGTTATTCACAAAAATTAATCTATGGTGTGGGGACAGATATCATGATGCAAAAATCCTAACCCTAACCCTAACCCTAACTTACCCAGGGTACGTTCCGGCAGTACCCCGGGGGACATAGACCCTTTCAGCGTTACTAGTGTGACATGTCACTTCATATCGGCATGTACACTCGTGAAGGTGGCTTACTCAATGCCAACTTTAGCTCTGTGAGATCTTTTGTTTACGACTTTCTGTCATGGGTTAGGCGAGCACAGAGAAATCTGGTAATTTGAGCACGAAATATCTAGCACTCTAGATCTTAAAAAACTTTTGGATTATCGTTTGAATGCTGAGCGAACAATTCGACAACTTGTGGGGCCATTCATTGATAATTTCGTCACGGGCAATAAAATTGGTTAAGTATGCATCAGTTGGTCGTTTCTAAATGGTTCAAGGGCCCATTCTTAGAAACATTGTGAAGTGAAGGATAAAATTAATGCTAATGCTCACAAATAATGTTATGATTACAATGATTTGGACATTGGACATTCCTCGGAGGTTCCAATTTGGCAGCTCGTTTACTTTCAGTAAGGGTGTATAGGTACATTTATTATAATATTTAATATCCTTGAATTTTAATTCAAACATCCATCATTTAATATTTGGTGTATCTTTTAAATTGTACACAGCATCTTTTACCCTGTTTTATGTATTTTCATTTCATATTTTAGGTGTTCATGGGAGCAGGTTCATAACAACTCACGGTGTCGCCATCAACTGTAATACTGACCTTGCATGGTTCGACCACATTGTTCCATGTGGTATAGATGGAAAAGGTGTTACATCGCTGTCCAAAGAGCTTGACATAGATGTTGGTATAGACGATGCTGTTGGGCCATTCCTAAAAGCATTTGCAGAAGTCTTTCGTTGTGATATTGAGAAACAGTGAAATTTGCTGAGAAATGGAAGGCAGGGAATTCATGCAATATACTTCACATAATTATTGTGGCTTTATAATATAGCGTAATATTTTAAAGTGTGTTGTTATTGTTTCGTTTACCTTACACTTGCTTAGGGTGCTCATATCTGAGCAGCTTACCCTGTATGTTTTGTTCACTGCATGAATTGTCATGACAACAACTTCTGGCATGTTGAAGTCAGTAGGCCCTCAATATCGAAGTAGTCATGCCCCCCTAAATCCATCCATTAAAATGATATATTTGCAAATATTGAAGTGCAGTTGAAGAATACAACGTGTTGACGCTCCCACAGTATTAAATGTTTAACGGCTTGAACTCTTTACAACAGATGACTAACTCAATAGTCAAGAGTCATAATAGGTACGTGAAAACAATTATGACTGTTTGTCTGAGAATTCCCTTGAACAATAGCCGTTTGCTCTTTTATAGTTATCCACCTTTGTTACCCGGTATTCCAATAAGCAGAGGCTACTAGCTTAAAATCATGTGCATAATACAGTCATTTTGGCCAAGTTACTCTGAAGTCCTGTTATCATATATCGTCTGTTATCGTATCAGCACTTTTATTGGGTTTCCTGTCCCCAAATCTGCACTATGATCCCTCAGATTTATGATCCTCATAATTGTATGGCTTATAACATTACAGAGAATTGTAAAAGTAAATATATTGCCCCATGATTTGAATGCTTTGTGTCACCAGATAACACTCGTCTCATCGTCCACTCCTAACACTGCAAACCTCTATATTACATATTTTTGCTATGAAATAGAGATGATGGAGTACTATAGCATCAGCTGTCATCATTCATTCTTCTGCTTGAGCATGCTCGTGCGTCTGCGTGCGTGTGTGCGTGTGCACGTACACGTGCGTGCGTGTGCACGTACACGTGCGTGCGTGTGCACGTACACGTGCGTGCGTGTACACGTACACAGCATATATATACACATATACGTACTGAACCGAGAGCGCACGCCGCACTCGAGATTTCATAGATTTTTGTCACAAATGACCCGGTGACCTGTGACGTTACACAACCCCTTGGCTAACTACGAACTGCCTTACTGCTCACACTAGCAGATGTGTTGAATTCCTCAATGTTCCTAGGACCACCGCGGCAGTTACCTTTGGCCGTTGTCGGCTGGTAGTCGTTCGTCCCTTCGGTTGTTATGTCCGAGTAGACATTCGTTGGTGAGCTCGAATGGAACTCTCGTCGCTGCTGATCATTTTCCTCCTCACTTGAGGCCCCTCGTCAGAATTCTGACAAGAACTCCCGTAGCTGTTTAAATAGCTGGTTGGCTGGTGCACTGCCACTGTCAGCCAGGTAACTCAACCCCTGTGACGTCGGTGCCGGTCAGTACCAGGGTGGTGTAACCCCTGCCTCGCACCTGAACTTCTTTTTGGCGAACTTTTATATCGCACAATTTCAGTCAGTTATAATTTGATAGAGCGAAATAAGATAATTAAAAAAATAATCACTGATATCTGAGCAACCTCCATTATTAACAATTAGCGTTCCAGCAGCAGAACTTATCTACCAACGACGCAGCGCCACTGTACATCAGATAACACAAAAATAAGAGAAATGTCGTGTCTCAATATTCACAGTCTATGATAGCGTGGAGATTCCAGGGAAGTTGACCCACCAAGCCCGCACTAAGTGAATAACTACTAACTACACTACTTAAACTTAGAGAATGAAACAATGTAACGTCGAGCTTGACGTTACACCAAGAGTGAGGAGAGCGAACAGACGAATTTTCAGGGAAACCAAACAGGAAGAGATACAACGAAGACAAAATATGCAGGTACTATACTATGTATTTTTGTATGTATACTATGTATTCTCTATCCGTGTCATTAAGATAAGAGGGCAGAAACATAACAGGGAGGAAAGGTTCTACACTCGAGATGCCGTCCTAGTCAACCGAGACGTACCGTCCTGACGAATAGACAATGAGCTATATCATCTATTAACAACAAAAGGTGGTGTAACTCTTGTTACACCAGAGCGTATATATAATATAATTTTGAATTTCGGATAGTAAAACTCAGAACAACCCAAGAGTTGTGTTCAGCTAACGAATATTGTTTCCAAATCACAAGCACCAAAACAACTCAACTACCGACTGACAAGTAAGTGCCTAGCTTACTATCGAAGTATTTATCCCCCGTTATCACCCACGTGTTGTCCCCATATGTCATGTCACCCTTAACCGTCTCCCTCCGTCTGCACTCTCTGATTAACAACTCAGCTAACCATCTGACGTTGCGGCAACGTTGTCACAACGTTTCACTTGCGTTGTAAAAACGTTGTGCTATTATGTTGAGGCAACGTAAATTTGTAGACTCCACTGAACGTTGCCACAACGTTGTGGAATAACGTTGTAATGTAACATATTGTACACTAGGAAATCATTGCCATACAAGTTGCAGCCCGGTGCAACAAAGTACACTAACAGTTCATGAGCATAAACTCTGGATTTGAGCAAGTTGTGGGCAGACACGAATGGAGCTGGCCACACTCATGAAGTGATCAAACAAGTATGGTCTCAATATACCGCGCAATGCAATCTTCCCTGTATACAACAAGAACTGTCTGTATTCTGCGGCTTTCTATCTATCCACATCTGAGAATCTTCACGGCTTACGGGCAAAATTGTGAGGGATAAATCTTTTCATTTTAATCAATTTCTTGCTGACTTGATCAATGAGACAGGCTGACATTTTCACATCTTTACTACCTCTCATCCATAGCAGAATTAACTTATTCGTCACACCAAGACATAGCTTGTGCATGTAATTGATTGAAAACGTTTTCACCATTTCTATGGGCAAGTCACAAAAGGGGGACACGACATGGTGATGTTCCTCATTACACTAGTTGCTTGAAGGACTAATGTTAGCAATCTCTGGGTATGTCACTCTACCAAGCCAGGCACCTCTGAGAACATTTGTCACATCCAAAATAGCCTGATAATAACTTGGTTCCTTTCACTAGGCCCTTCGCTGGGGCATCACAAATGATGTACGTCAGGGTAATACCAATTGTTCTATCACCATCTTGTAGACCATGCTGAATGAGATGGTTTAGCTCTTCAACTGTATCTCGTAAAAACTCCAAATCCGTTGGTTTGGAGTCTGCATATGTTAAAGCTACAGGGAAAACTGTTACTGGTTCCACATTCACATGCACACAATACTGGCCATAGACTTTTGCGTGAACTTTTAAATAGTTGAATGCCATCAACATTGAAAGACATTTCTAAAGCAGCGACGCACTGTTTCTCTCACACTTGCAGGATATCGCTTGAAATTCTTCAGTAATTGATCACTTAGTCCAAAATATATATACTCCATTTCAGATTTAATTTCTGTCAGTACATCAGTGTATTGATCAGTGTATATTTTTAGCAATGTGCGAGCAGAAGCAGGAAAATCAGGGTGCCCATATTTTTCTTCAGAAGCTTAAGAAGCCTATCCACTGCATTTTGCTTTAGTTGGTAGGTATTCACTGACCCAATTAGCCAAGTCATCTTCCAATAAGCCACTATTGGCATTCTCCATTTCATTTTGTGAGTCGGATAATAAAGTCACATCCTGCTCAATTACATCCCAGTTCCACTCCGCATTCCTGCAGGCTCCTGTATCAATGTCATCAATGTTTCGTCCTGGACTGTGCGTAGACTCACTATCGCTGGTTTGTAGCACCACACTTCCTGAACTCAATGGCACAATACCTGCAGCTGGAGCTTCTTCATCACTGTCATTATCTCGGTGCAGATTACTACCCATACTTCTTAATAACCGATTAGCAGATATCTACATCCTTTTGTACTTGAGACGATTTGCCTTCATTTTGTCCGAACTGTGATATATCCGGTGTTTCAAAGGCAAGCAGGCAACCTGGGAGATACTCTACCGAAGTCTGAAAAACATAAAAGAATAGAAATACACAATTTTCACAGGCTTTGTTCGACATTCTACATTTTGCAATCTATACATGGCTGACGTGTATGTAGCATTTTTCTGGTTATATTTACCGGCTGTTGTATATAATGTAGAAACACACTTTCAAACTTCTACATACACACAGCCATGCATGTGTTTATAACTAGCAAAATTCTACTGATACAGCACACGTGCATATAACTTGCAAACTTCTACATACACGCCAGCCGCGTACCTATAACTAGCAAAATTCTACACATACAGCACCCGTGCATATAACTAGCAAAATTCTAAACATACAGCACACGTGCATATAACCGCGAGATACACAGATACAGCGATACACCTATACACAAATACACAGATACACAGATATACAGAGTGTGTCCCAGCATCCTCGGGTGATGTAGGCCGCATCTCCGCAATAGGTGCATGCCGTGACAATGTACACGTGCTTGACACCAGCTTGCATGAAACCTGTGTTATCTACTCGTAATACTGAAGCTGACGTGCGTGTCACGTGTGATGCTGACGTGCGTGCTTGGCTATAACTCTTCCTGACGCATGTTTGACGTATGTTGTATCCGTACACACGCTCTGTGGCGTATAAATACCGCGCTCTCCAGAGCACAATCAGGCCGTGATCAGTCAGTCTCAGCCTGGAGCTGAGGAAAGAGCTGCCTCGATAAATAAAACATCAACACAGCGCAAGGTACAAGCATTGCGACCACTACCGACGACCTCTGTACAGAGCTCGCATCTCCCTGCAGAGGATCGTCCTGGTAAAGTCTAGTGCCTAGCTAGATCAGTATTTTACGTACTTGTGCGTTACTTCTACTTCTACTCTATATTGGCCACTATCAACATACTGATGATTCTACCAACGGGAGGCGCTAGTTGAGACTAAAATAAAATTTCCCTTCCCTTTGATTTTCTAAAGAAAAAAAAACAAACAAACAAATGTTACGGAAAATTTTGTTACGCTGCGAGGTATGCACCGTTTTTTATGTTCACCCTGGTTTGATGATCAGGGCTGAATAAACCTCCCTCGGGTTTATTCACGGCGTGAGCACTTTTACTCTGGAGTTGTGTTGTTTGTTCTTGTGT